GATACGAACATACACCCCAGTTTATTTTTGCTCTCAATTCGATTCTGCACACCCTCGACTCTTAAGCGTCCGTGTATTTCATGAAATAATTCTCAAGCCAAAACACTGTGTTTACAAATGAGGGATGTCCCTCCACTCACGGCCTCTAGCTACGAGAACTATAGAATTTCAATTTCTTTAATAAACCTTTCAAATGTTAGTAAATTTTAGGAGCAAAAAGAATTTTCGATGGAAAATGATCCTAAACATTGGCGGGTTTCAAGTGCAATTAAACCCATCACCCATAATTTACCCACCAAAATGACTTATGTTGTCGGAAAGAGGAAACCCTTATGTGTTATTAAGAAAAGTATAAAGAAAATCCTTAACACTGAGATTATTACAATAGCCCGTTGCGCAAGGCATAGCGACAGCACACCCAAAACACTTAAAAGGCCGCACTTAAGGCGGAAGGACACCCGGAAGTAAGCCTCGGGCCCGAAATCAATTTTCACCCAAAACACGCCACTTCTTATACTTTCCAGCCATGTCAGCAGTTAACAGAATTTTACAGGAGATTATGAGAAATGTGAACTTAAACAGGAACCATCGAAACCACTTCTTCACTTTTTTTTTTAAAGCGCACTACCTTGGAACCCCGTCGCAGAAGAATTGGCACGGCGGTCTGTCACTACGGCATTCTTTCCCATTGCTGGGGGCGTTCGATAAAGTATCGGGTTACAAGATGCAATTTTGGGCTAACCGTAAAACATTTGAAAATAAACAAACTAGTATCGAAGGGAAATTTCGTTGAAATAAAATAAAATTATCGTTTTTACATACATTTAATGGTGATTTTTTGCGCTAAAAGGATGATTTTTCCGGATTTCGTTAAAAAAAGTCGATAATTTATGGAATTTCGGTGCGCCATATTTTAGCCAATCACCGAGCAAACCTGGCTACACATATTACGCAAGGTCACTGATTACCTTCGCCAAGAATTGACGAAGGTTATGTTTTCCTGGCCGTGTGTCTGTGTGTCTGTGTGTCTGTCTGTCAACAGTATAACTCGAGAAAGCTTGGATGGATTATCTTGATATTTTGTAGGTGGGTAGGTCTTGATGAGACCTGGAAATGATCAGATTTTGGACCCCCTAGCGGCTTGTTATGGTACTACAGCTGAACTTCCGGTTTTAATATCTCATGATCTAGACATGCTGGGGTGACGAAATTTGGATGGTAGGTAGCTCTCATGCTGGGGAAGAAGTGACATGAGTTTGGGTCTCCTAGCGGCTTGCTCAGGAACTGCAGGGCTATCTGTTTGAAAATATTCCAAAGAGGATAACTCAAGAACCGGTGACGTGGACGGATCGTCGTGATTTTTGGTATGTAGGTAGCTCAAGCGACGCTTGACATAATTATGCGACAATTATGCAAATCTGGATCTAATTTGCATAATCAATGGGGAAATTCTATAAATCAGCTGCATTACATTATAGGACTACTCACGCTTGTGACATATGTAATTGAGAACGAGAGAAACACAGGCGGATGTTGATTATGTAAATTAACACCTAATTTGCAAGATTAATGAGAAAATGTTATAATTCCATAAGGTTCCGGGTCGGAGTTTAATTCTGACCAGGGTTCCAAATAGTGCGCAGTAAATCGCCGGATCTGCTAGGTTGTCACGCTAGGTTTGGCTCCCCATAGCTCGGCGATCGCTGTAGATTTTCAACTAGGTTTTGAATTGATCAAAAAGCCTTGGGATTGTAGTGTTTTTCGGCGCGGTGAAGTTTGACGGCCAGCGAAGCGTTTTTGGTATTAGTCCGCGAGCAAGGGTGATGCGGTTTGTCGCCTGATGACCCAAATAGCTGCGTTCTATCTGGAATTTCTAGGGGTTCGCGTCACCGGATTTTGCGAAAAACTTATCGCAACAACCTATATTTTTTTTCTGTTTTTCAGAAACAGAAAGTAGTAAGCTATTTCAGCATATAATCCGTTAGCCTGGGAAAATTCGTTTTTTCCAAGCAGGTCCGTTGAAAAAACTGCAAAATAAATACATTTTTCGTATCCAAAATTTACGTTTAACTACAGTTTCTACCCAAATTATAGAGTCGACGGACAATAACCAAAATTGTATCGGAAGCCGGCTGGAAACCTCCGTTGACTGATGTAATGAGATTTCCCGGCGTACTTTTTTGGCGGAGTTATAGCCCTTCGGTCTGAGGGTGTCCGCCGGATCCAAAATCGTGAAAAAAACTCCGGTCCGAGACCATAATGCTAACTGCCTGGAATTTGATACTTGGGGTATTTGAAAGGTAAGTGAAGGTGAACATCATTAAACATAACTTATTCAAATAAGGACCTCATTTGCATAGTTTATGGAGAAATGATAGAATGGCTTTCTTTGTTAAGATAAGGCTGTCTTTTGATGGAGAATATGATCAACTATATAATACAATATCATAATACAATATCATAATATAAATATAATACAAATGAGGATCCTATTTCCATAATCAGAAGGAATCATCTTTGTCAGTCATAAAGATTAACATCATTTGGCGAAGGTATGAGATCGTGGGACTCTAGTTTTTATATTTTTGGACGACCAGGAATAAGATGAAAAATCGTGCTTTGGGGATTTTGTAATTTCTAACTTAAAGTATAGTTTTTGTCGACAAATAGGTGAATTTTTTTGTGCTTTTTTCGCACTTAATAACCCATAATTCAAAATCAAGAGCATTTTTCAAAAATCCCTAAAGCACGATTTTCGGGACAACCGTGGCAGTCATTTTGAGCCGTAAATGGGGCATGTTTGACTCTCCATGCTTCCAGGTTTGAACGAGTTTTGCAGACATGTCATATCTCCCAAAAGTGTGCACCGTGAACTATTCATAAAGGCGTAAAGAATCATTACAGTATTCAAGGTTACCCAAGGATACGACAGTAGCTTCGCTACATGTTACATGTCCACATAAAAATGATAGCGGACATGTACTGTCCTGGAAACTGTTTGTATCTATGGAAAAGTGTTGTTTTTTATCTGTTGCGAGGCACTCAGGCAGAAGGGCTTGTTTTGCCACTTTATTGCAAATGACCGCAGGTGACCCAGAAATGGAACGCGGGTTCTATTCGAATTGCCCAGATCGAACACGATCGAACACAGTTCGGATTCTATGAAATGTGGGAACTTTGCAGCCCAGATTTTACCACCGTTTGTCGTGGGCACCGTTCAACGCATTCCGACCTCAGTCTGAACACAATGTGACTTGACATTGCGTTACATATTGGTTCCGGCCATGGATTACGGGGTGATATTTCTTCATCTTTATGCAATACATGTACCACATTTACGTAGCAGCAACTTAAAGAGTAATAATGACCGAATAATGTGGCCATTGTAGGACGAACTTCACCGCCTCTGACAGGACCGCGTAAGCATTCGGCCGAGGTACACTGGGAGGGGGGCACCAGCAAGCAGGCCGTTGACCTCTAACATTGATAACACGCTACCTACCTACCAAAAATGATTGTAGCTTGATCGTGCCGGGACAATGTTTAGAAGAAACGTGTATTACGTGGACCAGATGTGATTAGTGTGATTTACCCAAATTGCGGCTCCAAGTTTTTCGTCTGCACAGGGCAAAATACGTTTGTGTTTTCAGTGAAGTAATTTGGTAACCCGTCCGTGGTATGCACCTGTTACCCAAAAAAACCTGTAAATGTTTTTATTGCCTCTTGTCGCCCTATGAACATATGGTAAGGAAGAATATAGTCTGGAAAGATTTTTTCATGACATGTGGTAGTAAACGTACCTTCAGACTCACACGTCCTTGTCTTGGAAAGTTGCTCCACTGCGGTTTTGAGTTGTTCCAGCTCTGCTCGAAGTGCTTCGTCATTGCCACAATTCACTACCGGACTGCACACAAATTTCTCTTCTGGTGGTTGTCTACAGGTGGACTGGGCTGAGCTTAGAAACACAAACGTGACAAGAAACGTTAGAAGACTGAGAAAAGGCGACGCCATGGCGTGAAAATGGTGAAGAAGTCACTGCAAACTGTAGATATGCCGACAAGGAAGTCTTCCGCTCAGAAGTTGCAGCGTCTTTCTAAACCGTCCCATTGTATTTTCTCATTGAACCGTGCGGCTGACGTCACCTTCCAAAAATGTTTTCTGTTTAACGTTTGGCTTTTGTTGTCAGTGGCACCTGGCACCTGGCGCTTAGGCTGCATATCTCACGTACCAGACGAACACAAATTTAAATTCTTGACGGACTGGGAACCCTTCTTCGATTGGTCAAACCAATAGCTGTTTGCTATCATTGGTTGAAGTGCTAATTGATACTGGCAGTTAAGATAGGACAATTGATTGGTTCTTGAAACCCAATGGATAAACAATACTCCAAGTGTGTCTGGCTGCAAATATGAAAAGTCAAATGCTATATTTAGACTGTGACTAGTAGGTAGAAGTAGTGGGGGAATAACCCAACTGCGTCCAGTATCAAGAGCTGCTTCAGTCGTGCAAAGACCTGGGATGGAGAGCCATGTGATTCCCCGTAATGGTGGGAACGAGAGGCTTCCGCCAAGAAAAGTACGCCGGGAAATTTTATTATATCAGTGAACGGAGGTTTCCAACCGGCTTCTGATACAATTTTGGTTATCGTCTGGTTAAAATTTGGGTAGAAACTGTAGTCAAATGTAAATTTTGGATACGACAAGTATAGTTTTTTGCTTACTACTTCGTGTTTCTAAAACAAAAAACAAAAAAAAAAAGGTTATTGCGATAAGTTTTTCGCAAAATCCGGTGACGCGAATGCCTGAAAGTCCACATATTTTGGTTCATCAGGCGACAAACTGCATCACCCTTGCTCGCGGACTAATACCAAAAACGCTTCGCTTTCCGACCACTTCACCACGCCGAAAAAAACACTACAATCCCAAGTTTTTTTGGTCAATTCAAAAACTATTTGAAAATCTATCACGATCGCCGAGCTATGGGGAGCCAATCTTAGCGTGACAACCCCGCAAATCCGGCGATTTATTTTTATTTATTGAATCTTCAGACACCTGGGTGGCCTAGTTCAATTTTGACAAATTGATTTTCAATAGGGCCCAGTACATAAATACAATAAAATCAGACATACAGATACAAACAAAGACCGATATAAACAAATCCGAATCGTTATCCATAATTCGTGTCGATTAAACAGTCCAGGCCGGCTTTCCGTTTGGAGGTCAGAGGTCAATGTACAAAAGATTAGGTAATTGAGTTCTTCAGAGCAGTTTTGAAAGATTTCAAAGATGTTTGTTCTGTGATGTTTCCTGGGAGAGAATTGAAATAATGTACACCCCGGTAAGCAAATGTGTGTTGTCCAGCTGTGTTTTTGAATAAAGGTATGCAGAGTTGTGATGTCTGTCTGGTGTTGTAGCTGTGGAAGTTGCAGTTGTGTGAGAAGATAGATGATAAGTATGTTGGTGCTAAACCATTTATACATTTAAACACCATAATACACATATGATCCCTCCTCCTGTCGCCGAGGTGCTGCCAGTTGAGTCTGTGGTGGAGGTCAAGTACGCTGCTGGCCTGCTGTCTGCACTGTAGAACTATCCTGGCGGCCCGGTTCTGCAGTACCTGGAGCTGACGCTTTCTTACTACCCCGCAGCTCTCCCACACTGTGTCGCAGTAGTCCATGAGGGGGAGCACCATTGACTTATACAACATAGCAGTTACATTAACTGTGAGACAGGGTCTAAGACGCCTGAGTAAGGCTAGACGCTGGGTTACCCTAATACAAAGTTTGTCCATGTTTTCATTCCATGTTAATTTACTGCGCACTATTTGGAACCCTGGTCAGATATTCACCAATTTCACACTTCCCATAATGCCTAGTAACGGTCACGGACATGCAGGGATGACGTAAGAACATCCCCCCTCCCCCTTCCTCGATGTAATATTTCCAACAAATTCTATCGACAAACTGTCAACTATTGTTTTAAATTATTTATCTAGTATAAAGCACATGCCATAATTGCATTTTCGTTGGAATAAGAGAAAATGACGTACCTTTTATTGTTCCACCTTCTACCGAAGACTCTCCTACTCGGTAATGCATGCGACCGTGCGAGTAGGAGAGTCTTCGGTGGAAAGTTTTCTCTAATTCCAACAAAAATGCAATTTTTTCGCACCCACGTCGATAATTACGCGGATATAACACACGACCGTACACGAGCAAAAGTTTATAGGTTAGTTTTTATTGTACATTGCAACACAACAAAGCTACTACTGTGGCCGATACAAGACCCGCTTGTTTACATCACTGCCACCAGCACAACAACTGTTTTGACAAGGTTGATGGAGTCAACCGAAAATTTGGGGTAAGTCCCAATTCTATTTCTAGTGTTGGAAGTTAAAGTTTAGTCTTTATTTCATAACTGTTTTGATATTTGTCATTTCTAATGATGAATCAATATGGTAAAGAACTGTTTGAATAAAGTATTGATTTTTTGCAGTAATAATCAAAATTGCCATTGTTTTCTTCATTAACTGGAGTAAAGCTGACTCTGATGGACCTTTTGGATTTGTTTCACACTTTTCTTAATCAAAACTGTTGTAAGCGTCGAATTGTCATCTATTATTTATTAGGGGTTCATCTCTCTTGTCCAGAAACTAACAGAAAAAGTTTGACTCTAACACATTAGCCCCTATAGCAGACAAGAAACGATTATTGAATATTACATAACTATATTTAAATTAAAGTTTAAAACTGACCACGAAAACCATTCAATAACATAATCTAATGATCCAATTTTTACACGTTATTTTATATATCTGACCGCCAATCTGTTGTTATCATATATTGTATTGTGGCTTTGGTAAAGTCTCCTTTGTATTCTTCTTTGTCAGTGGTGAGGCTATAATTGCTAATCGCTAGAGTTGCTCACTTTTATGTCTTGTACTTTTTTTATCTTCTTCAATAAGAAAAAAAAGACTATGAATAACTACGAATAGTTAGATACAGTATGTGATACATGGAAGAGGTCATTAAGTTCAATAATGGCTAAGATGAATTCTAGTATTTGTATTTACATTTTAGCATGGTGATATTACAATTTGCTTATTAAATTCATCTTGTTTCCTTATTCATATAGCCAGATAATCACATGTACACATCGCTACTCTGGTTCTTTATATTTGAGCCCTGGGGTGACACGTTCTAAACAAATGATTAAACTAACATAGAGTAATCTGCTAGATAACATAGGGATGAGAGGCTTAAAAAGCCTAGGCCACAATTCAAAATCGTATACTGATTTCTCTGTACCAAGAATGACATTGTAAAATGGTCCTCCATTTGGCCTATCAGAAATTATGCTCCATGTCTGCAAAGACTAATTCGAAAGTGTTTTTTCATGTACAATGTCAACGTAAACCCTGGTACTAACCCGTACAGATGTAGCTGACTTCCAAGTACTTGAACGTTTCCTTGCAAAGATCTCCAAACACGGAGCTGGAGGCTGGCACCGAGCAGACAGACTTGCCCTGGCAGAGGCTGCGGACCCGGCCTAGGCTGGCGGGGTTCTGGCAGTAGAGCGTACGGACATTACCACCAGGACAGACGGTGTGCAACATCCGGCCGTACAGGGCGGACACGACGTCGATCCGCTGTCCAGGGCCGCAAATGATCTTCATTGTGCTGCCTTCGCAGACCCTAGCCTTCCAGGAGAGTGCTGAAACACAAGTCACTCAATGGATTGTACACTCTACAATGATAAGCGCCTATTGCTGTTCACCTTTCTTTCCGCTTGTTCAATTGATTTCAATACGTTAGATCCTATAGATAAATGCAACTACATTCTCAGGGGAGACAACCAATACAGTGTTCAAATAGGAAAATACATTAAAGAATGTTTTGATCTTAGAGAACACATGTTAGAGAATAGTTAACCTTTATTGTTATATCATACATATACTCTGTACGTAAGATAACGTTAACCACACATGCATTTAGCTTTGTTAGATCTTTAGTTAATTTGTAGAAGACCATACAAAAGTCTCTGTACTTTTTTGTTGTGTCAATAAAGAATCTGTGTCAACAAGAATCTCATATCCAATTTTAACGGCAACCCCGAAAAAAATCATTTTTGGAGGGCCCCTCATGCAATCCTTGGCGTCCTGTGGGCTCCTGAATATTCTGCCTTGTTTAAGCTTCCCCGACCCACTCACTGTCTAATCTTCAAGCATATCTTTTGGTGGCTACAAAGGCACAAATCGGCCAGGCAGTATCCATTTGCCAGGGAGTAACCATTTGCCACCCCAAGGCTGGCGAAAAAAGATAACAGTACAAAAAAGAATGCTTAAACACACTAAAATAAGCCCAAGCCTAAACCTCTGCTTGGAGAGTACTCCCTGCCGACCTACTCCGGACAAACCCACAGCTCAACCACCCAAAACAGTACTTCCGTACCCAACAATACATAACGGTACCTCTGAACCTGTTTATCATAATAAATCTGATTTACAATAGTTGAAAATCAATTAATTAAACGGATGGTTTATTTGTTTGTTTGTTAAAAAAACATAGCAGCCTATATGGGGTGAATTGATTACTCACATGGTAAAATGAAATGGCCTGGATTTCTGTACCTATGTTTATGTTTATGTTTTGGTGTCTTATAAGCCCATATGGGCTGGGTGACAAAAGTCGCAAGACACGTAAATAAAAATTCATTCATTCATTCATTCATTCATTCATGCATGTATTCATTCATTCATTCATTCTAACTCTTACCTTGAGTACTGTAGGGCGGCTCTTTGTTGAACAATGCTAACGGTTGGAAGGTGGAACCGCCAGTAATGGTGTCATTCGTCATGGGGCCGCTTGTAACAGTCTGCATGGGAAAATCCAAATTTGGGGTATTTTGAACATGTGTAGCTAGAGTTTTATTTATTCTTTATTTATTTATTTTTTATTTCCGCACAAAAAAAACAGGATACAAGGTAAAATAAATTAGATTTAAAACACTGTGCAGGAGAAGATGAAGCCTTAAATGCTTGGACAAGCCCTTCTGCTTAACCCTCAACAGAACACCTTCCCGGACTGATTAATCTGTACACCTGGGGTCCGCGCGGACCCCAGAACAGTTTT